TTTTTTATAGTGTGGAAATGTTGAGACACATTTCACTTTGCAGCACATTTCACAGAAAAATTAGAAACAAATCTAAAAGGCAGAAGTACAAAACAACTGACCTCCAGTCATCATTAACTTAGTATTTATTTAGAGAGGATTAAAGCACATTAATTACACTTAATTACTTCAAATGTACCTGTATCTGCAAATGTTTTACTGTTATGTTAGTGTTGGGCGGTATGATAAAAAGTTTTCATCACAGTATTTTTTAAGATTCTGGCAGTTTCACAGTATATTTCTGTATTTAGTTTTTTGCAAGACAGAGCCTTTATATAAGTTTATGGTGGCTGTCATTGTGTATATACTGAAGGCTTTTATCACTAAACCATTTTTATTGTGCAAACTTCCACGTACTAAAAACAGAACTTAAAAATGAAAAAGATTTGCCAACAACTTTAACGCTGCTTCCATTTCAAAACAGAATATTTTAAAATAGTTGTATGAACTCTATAAACTTGCATGAAATACTCAGAGATTTCTCAAATGTTCTTTTGCACAAGAAACAAATGAGTTACAGCAGCTGTTTGAGCTATGCAACAGTATGGCAGTATATGAAAAAATGTATAGCGTACACTATGTCATAGCCATTGATTTCATCCTGCATCCTATTCTTTTTTTCTATTAGGAAGAGGCACTTAGATCAAGGATTTCAAGAGAGAATGAATTCCCCTTAAATACAGCTGGACAAGCATCAGACTAGAAACAACGAAGACAGTCAGACAACCACAAGAAAAAAAGTCACAAAGTTAACATTTTTAAATAATAACCTTGATCATTGTTTGCATTTTATTTATTTTAAAAGGTGCAAAATATCTGAATTAAGTTCTGCCAACCTTAAATCATTTAGTCATCAATAAATTAGTTTAGGAGCTTTATATACTGTAGTTAAATTGATGTAAAGGAAATTACACTTCAATCAACTGTTGTAGCTGAAATCAAGCAAGTGGTGCTCATTAAAGTTCATTACAGTTTGTAGGATTAGACATTTACGGGGTAATAGCTGATTTCAACAGCCATTCCAAGTGTGTAGAAGAAGTTGCGGTGGCCACAAGACTGGGAAAAATGTGAAAGGGCCTTTCTAGATCCAGTGCTTGTTTTGTCTGTTCTGAGCTACAGTAGAAACATGGAGGTTGAAAATGGTGGCCTCTGTAGAAGACGACCCACTCACTCTCTAGATAAAATTAGATCATTCTAAGGTAACAAAAACACAGTGATTCTTATTATACACTAATGAAACCATACCTATGAATATTATATTCCATTTCTGCCAATAGATCCTCCTAAAGGTTTCACACTGGACCTTTAACTTTTTTTAAATGTGTGTTAATCATATGTTGATGATTTGAACTGTTTGCTCCACAGTGAACATTTTCAGATAGTGAACAGTTGTTACCAGACTAGTTTATATACAGAACCTGGCAAATGTGCCCTTTTATCATGCAATTATTATTAGCTTTTGTGTATACACCTACAAACCTGTATAATAACTAATAGAGAGGTTCCATAATGGTGGCTGCCAACTGTAATGCTGATAACCACAAATGTTATTTGTAAACCTATAAACATATTGCTTTAAAGAAGCAGATTGATTTTTATGGAATTAGTCAGCGATTAGCTTAGCATAAAGACTAGAAGCAGGGGGAAACAGCTAGCCTGGCTCCAGCTACCAACACGTATATTGTTTCTTTAATCCACACACAGACACAAATGTAAAAACATCAAGTTGTGATTCTAGAGGGAGTAATGTGATGGAACTATTTTTTAGAGACCATTGGCCAGCACAATGACTTCTTGGAATTTTATTGTTGTTGCCAGGCAACTAGCGCAGACTCCAGGAAATCACTGCACCCTGATAAAATCATTTTGACTTTTTAAAAACTTGAAGCTGCCAGATCTACTTCTGGTCATAAAAGTTGTAAGGAGCTGCAGTCAGACAGTCTGGAACAGGATCTGACTGGTCATCAGGGTGTTACGTTCCCTCTGAGACGCCGGTTGTTTCTGAGGCACTCCAAGGCCAGCTTCAGATTTTCAACTGCAACTGCAGATCCTTAATGATTTCATCTCTATGGCCAGATACCGCTTTAGACGTGTTAAACTATGTGTTTACCATGATGCTCTGTGTTTTTTAGCTCCTGCTGTTCCTCTTCACTATCTTGTTCCTCTGCGACTGTCCTCAGTGGACCTGACTGACTGTTATGAATCTATTATCCCCTCTTGTTCATCTTTTGTTTCTGAGGAAGATGGCTAAATTACAAATATCAAGAAGCAGAGTTAATCAGTGTTGTTCTGATGGTATGTGACTTCCATGAAGTCTCCATCATCGTAGGATTATTCCCAAAGGTAAACAACCAGATTCTTTTGGAGCACATTTTTGGCACGTATGGGCACACACTTAGTGTGTATAGGATCTGTGCTGATACACCATTGGATCATTTTATCCCCTTGTTGATATTGCTGCATGTGGCATGTGCTTCCTACTTGTTGGAGGGTGTCACATAACATCTTTCAGAGCAGTTAATACTTGTAACCTATATGTTAAGTTAGATATTCTGTATTCACTACCTGTTCCTCTGAGCCTGTGAGTGTGTGAGTGTGGATGGGATGAGGCAAAGGGACAAAGATAAAAACAAGAAAAAAAGAGCCAGTCAGAGAAAGAATGTATGTTTGTGTATGTATGAGAGAGAGAGTGTGTGTACTTATTGCTGAGCAGGAGCTGCTGACAGCCATGTGACGGCTGACAGCAGCTGGGGAAGCAGGCCAAGGGACTAATGAGAGGCACGTTGAAATGTGGACTCAAAACGTGTGTGTGTGCGCGTGTGTGCATGCTCTGCATACTCAAATCACAACTATGATAATCATATCAGTAATCTGCTTCCAGCTTTGTTTATTATTTATTTATTGTCATTGAAACCCCCTTAAAGATGCAGTGGGTAATTTTTATAAAAAATATTTTTATCACATTTGCTGAAACTTTCACTATATCCTGACAGATCTGTGAAAAAAACTGGTTCCTCTGGCTCCTCCTAGTGCTCCTAATGGCAGTTGCAAGAATCCACCGGGCCTGAACAAAAACAACCAATCATGTACTACTGTCAGGATATAGTGAAATGTCGGCAAATATGACAAAAGGTTATTTTTTATAAAAGTTACCTGCTGCTTTAATTACCTTTGTGAAGAGGTATTTATTTATTGTTAAACATGCATTTTTTCATTGTGAAAGTACTAGTGAGATTTGTTTCTCAAAGTGAATATTATTTTTATTATGTGGTTGAGAACTGCTTCTTAGGCTCCTATTCCCCTCAGCTGAGAATCAGAATCAGTACAGCCACAGGTTGATATTAAAGTGATAATGGAGGCAGGTCAGTGTAAACAGGATTAAGTGTAAAGTTGCTTTTTTTGAAAAGGGATAGTTACAGGTTTTTTGAAAAGGGAATGTATAGACAGTGTATTATCTGCAGAGGTCAGTGTGCACCTGGTTTGGAGAAGAGTCCCAGTAATGCCGTAGTGCTGTAGAGGAAATGTGCATCACTGAATTAGACAAGCTTAGTTAGAGGCTGTTCTTCAATAAAAACAAGGCTACACACTGCAGGTGGAAGGTGGCCAGGTTTACTGACTATAGCGGCTCTACCTGCCTGTCCTCTCCCTGCCATACTGCGCTGAAGTCAAACCGAGTCAAGCCAAGCCAGCACGTGTATGAAAAAGGGCTATAGGTAACACACTGACTACGGATAAGTACGTCACACAGCCCCACTTCAAACAAGTTCTTGTGTTAAACTATCTCTTACTTAAGACTATGCTCTTCACTGTGGCTCCTCACTGATGCATGGTGTACATTTTTGGTATGGTGGGATGTTGTATCCAGTGTGTGGTGTTTTGTGCATAGTGTAAATCTTCTTAGTGGAGACTTCTGCGAGCGTTGTGGCCAATTGTCATTGAAGCCACAACACAAAACATTTCTCAGCTCTAATGATGTGTCTTGTTTACGTTTCGCACCTCGCTTGGTTGCACAAACAGCAGTAGCTTTCTGGTTAAATGCTCCTGGTGGGCAAAGAATGAAGGGTACTTGTGATCCTCCAAAACAAAACTATATCTGTAGGTTTAATTCACACCCTATCTTCAGGCATCAAAAAGAATTGCTCCTGTTCGGGACACAGCCATATGATTGACCACAGAAATGGGAAATATCAATGATAAACGTTGCAAGCTATCAGTCCCTCCAGGATTTTGCAAGCGTTTTTGGGATTGTTGCAGGCTAAAACTGGTTTCAAGGCAGCTTTTCTAAACAAAAATGCACTGCATGCTGCAATGTGTTTAGGCCTTTTTTTGCCATGAAATTGTGGGGAGAAAGTGAAAATTGCAAAATGATTTAAATATATATATATTTGTATAATTCATAAAAAAAATCAGGGCAACTTGTTCCAGTGAGAATAAAATTGTACTGTTTGGAGGGTAAATGTGAGAAGTCTGTCTGTTCACAAAAGGAAGTGAGTTTGGTGGTGTATGACTCAAGACTCTTATGACAAACCATTCTAACATTGCTGTTGAGGTGAAGGTCATGCAATCCCATCATACAATTAAAATAAACCAAAAGCTTGTTTCCACTGTGATCCTCATTGGAGAATACAGATATTCAGACAAGACAGATGAAAAAGTCTGGCAAATAATTAATTGTCAGAACTCCTTGTTATGGTTGGGAGCACTAAGAAGAATGTAACCTTAAGGAACTTAAGTAAAACCTATATAATTCCAACTGAAAGTGGGCCTGCAGACTGTTCGGAAAA